ACACACACACAGGCACTGAGCTGTATTCACAGATTCTGATCTTTCTTCCTGGTTTCTAAGAATGAGACTGGGAGGACTTATTCTGCATTTCCAACCTGGGCTCTTCTGGCCATAGTCAGGTGCATGGTAATGGCTGAATGGCTAGCAACATTATCACTCTTTCATGAGACATCTGGAGTCTGGAAACCAGCCTGAAAGGCAGGAACTCTGAACTTTACCTGAGTTTATTATATGACTAGGAGAGACACAGACTAATCAATAATGCTGTCTTTAGATATTGTTCATGTCAGCTCTGGCTTCAAATGAGAAATAATTACTCCACTGACATGGCACTCAGACCCGCTTGCCATATATTTGTATCCATAGCATTTAGCAAATATGGCAACTTTATATAGCAGCATTCATAATTGTCTATTGTCAGTCTCGGGCATTTTTTGGTGTTCTACAGATTATCTATATCATGTCTCCTTTCCCATAGACTCTTAAAAAGCTGAGGTATAAATGATGTCAAACAGTACCTTTCAATCAATCTTTAACATCTGCTTATTCTAAATCAAAAGGCATGGAAATACATTCACATAGTACCAAGTAGGTTTCAAAGCAACGTTTGGACTGGGATAAAAGAAATCCACAGGGCTAAGAGGAACCTCGGCTGCTCTGTTTGCGAGGTTGAAGGAAAGACTGAATGCTACTTGAAATTTATGTTTGGTCCCCAGGAGATGCTGGTTTCATGAAGCTTCACCATATATACTGTGTGTGTGTGATGCTTTCATATAGTATGTGTGTGTGATGCTTTCATATAGAGTGTGTGTGTGTATGTGTATGTGTGTGTGTATTTTTTCAAGGACCCGGATCAACCCCGTACTACAAATCTGGTCTCTGTGTTCTTATAGCAGAGAAGAGAGCATTTGAATTTGTGCCAAAGCACCCAGGCTCTTCTGTTAAACTTTCTGTTTATTACTATGTTACTGGAATACAATGAATTACCTCCTTCCAATTCAGCAAATGAGAGGAACAGATTTTGCATTAAGTGGAACTGTTTATGTGGCATCAGGCAATTTGTTCTAATGCTGACTGCTGAGGGACAGAACAGAATGAGGATTACTCAAGCAGGATCTGAAAAGGTGCCCATTCTGTTACATTCTGTTACTTTTTTAGGAAATCATAAGCAAATATCTTCTTAGGTAGGTTAAAATTACACTTTCCCATGAATAGCAAAGATGAGAGTGCAGACAGGTAGGAAAGAACTCTCAGCTTCATACTTCGGAAGAACTGAAAGTGTGAATAGGGATGAAGCCTAACGTGTAGGTCTTTGCTCTGTTCTTGGTGATGTATCTGGCTGCCGCAGTGGGTCCTGCTCCATGGTTCTTCAGGGACAAGGAAGTGGGCAGTGCAGGGATCCAGAACCAATGATATCGCCAGTTGTGTTGACACAGGTCACTTGGCTTTGGTGTATGCTCCAACATAGAGACCTAGACCAGATCTGCCATCTCTACTAGCTGTAGGACCTATAGCCCTATAATTCCATTCTTCCTAGAATTAACAACCAAAACAAGAATGATACACAGAACCACAGTGATTAGAGAAGGCTGGGTCAGAAAATTAAAGATACAATCAGAAGGAAGAAGAGGAATAGGACAGAACACAAAGATGTTTTGAAACACATGGAGAGAAAACCATCCTGGTGTTTGCTTCCCTTTGCTTTGGCTGGGGATGGAATTAGTCCAGGAAACTGATTCAGATTGAAGCACCCTAAGATTGCCTAAAATTACACTGAGTAAACGGTGATAGAATTCCTTAGAACCAGAGAACTGGACATGTTGGAGTACATTTTCACTTTTGCATCTTGTTTCACTACTTAGCATATTAAATTCCTATCTATGAGCCATGCAGGTGCTTAATTATCAAATGGATACATCAAATGTGTCATGCTTTTGTTCAGCCTGCTTCTAAATATTCAAATTTGTCTTTTTTCATGGCTCCACCACTGAAGGAGAGGGACAAAAACATTTCTGCCTGCTTTACTTCTGCCAAAGCTTCTCATTTTCAGCTAAGTACACTAAACCATTCAGAAGTCTCTCGTTAGCCGGGGAATATGAGGGGCAGGACACTTCTCCCTGAGTTGCCACCAACCTGATCTAGCCTTGTCACTTTTCAGGTTTTCAGGAAGGGGTGTGAAAGAGTTTGCAGCCTGCACACAGAAATGATACCTCATTCTAGGCATAAACTGCAGCTAATCAACCACAGATTAGGCCTAAATTGACACTAGCCACCAAGCCCAGAGCTTAGTAGCTGAGGTTTCCATAGTGTCATCCTTTCTAAAACTCATGTGGCTTTCCTCCTGTTGATGGGTCTCTTAAGCCCTTTGTCCAGTGAGACTAACCAACCCATCCCATTAGCAAAGATTGAATTCTGAATGACTCATCTATAGTCTTATAAACAAATGCGTACATCATGTTCAACTGAGTAACAACAGATTATTTCAAAATAATAATAATAATACCTGCTGGGACAAAGCAAAAATTACAGTTTACTGGGTCAAAAGCACTTTGCAAGCTCCCTATATTTGGTTCTCTATCACCCATTATAGAGTTGGCACTTAGATGCAATTGCCCCAGCTTTTTGCCTTAGCAAAAGTAAAGAAAGAGCAGATGGAGGGAAACATGCAGGGATTGCGGCGGAGTCCAATCTCCTCGTTCATCTATAGAGAAATCAAGGTCTAGAAAGCAGAAATGATGAAATCACAAAACTACCTAATGACAGAACCAAAACAAGAATTCAGGACTGCCTGCTAGTACTGAACAAATTTCCTAAAGCTCTCTGTATATCTTTCCAAGAAATGAAAAGGAAACTAAAGCAAAGTTTACCAAGATCACAGCCCTCTACTTCCATGCCATATATTCATATTTACATGTTGATATTTACATATTTATTGCCATATATTTGTGACTTGCCTCCTCACTCACCACTTGCCCCCAGCATATACACACACACCCTTATCTTGCTAGCTAAGAAAACATGGCATATGCCTACAACTAGCATATTCAGGTGGAGGGCAGAATTAAACATGACAAAGGTTTAACTGCTCACACTTTTCTTGCTGATCTGTCTCACAAGGTGCCTAGAAAATCCAGTCTCTGCAGCTCCCTATTAGTTTTGAGGAATGGAAGCTGGTGAAATTCAGTGACTATGGCTCTGGTTCTATATACTCAGTCTCAGAATTGACCCCCATAAATGTGCATGCATACACACACACACACACACACACGCATTCACACACTGTCTGAAAATTTTTTAAAAAAGGAAATAGAAAAGACAAGTGAGATGGTTTTTATAGTAGACTATGACAAAAGGGAGGTTTGTGAGGAGGTGGGGGAGGGGGTGTTGCTTCCTAACTCCATTCCCTAACCTCGATGCTTAGTTTCCATTAATCCCACCATACTTTCTTTTAGAACTTGAGAAAAATAGGCTGATGCAAACATGTTTATTACAGCCAGAAGGATGATATGAAGAACTTTTATATTATAATGAGGATATCACAAGGTTAAGGAAGAGAGGTTAGGGCGAAGTGGTCTAGGGT